CAGGCCTGGCTCAGAATTTAACCTATTTATTGACTGCCCCAGAGACTAAAGAGATGGGCCAAAACCTGGGGGGCCTTGATTTCTTTCCGAGCTGAGGTGCTGCCCTGAGGGCAGGGCTGGCTCTTACTCAGGAAACTGCTGTGCCCAACCCATGGACAAGCCCAGCTGGGGCCCACATCTGACCCAGACCTTGGAGACCCTCAAACACTGGATCAGGGTTCTTCTCAGCCTCTTTGTCCAGGTTTCCAAAGCTGAAGAATGTGGTCATTGATTAAAAAAGGAGAAAACCTCTGTGAGTGTGTCTTGTGAGTAATATGTGTGAAAGAGAAAGAAAATAACCACAATGACTGTCCTTCACAGATTTTAGTTTCCCCTTGAGGCCATTTTGACCACCAGGGGATGCCCAAGCTCCACCCTAGGACAGCCTGGCTCTAGCCCCACCTTATTTGTGGTTGAGCTTGGAGTAGCCATCCCACACCCTTTCCCTAATGTTTAACCACCAGATTTGGCTCTTGCTTAACATGTTTGTACCAGGCACCTGCTCTCAGAGATGGAGCGGCAAAGAAGAAAAAGAGATTTGACAGTTGAGGAAGGGCAAAGCAAGAGAGCATATTGGAGGTGGGAAAGAAGTAGATGAGACAAGAGTTGGCTGGATCTGGAGACATACAAGCAGAGAATGATGTCTCTGGTCCTTAAAAGCCAGTTGCTTTCAAGTCCGTTCCCAACTCTGAGGTGCTTTGTAGGACTGAGTAAAACTGTCACAGAGTTGTCAGATCTGTAATCTTTTTATAGAAGCCACATCTACAGATATGGTAGGTTTGAATTGCTGACTTTTAAATTAGCAGCCAAGTGTTTTAACCACTGAGCCACAGGCACTCATTCAGTTTCTTTTCAAGCACTTTTAAATGCAGAATTCCGTGTCTGGGAATTTTTCTGGAAATAAGGTCCATAGTTTTTCATCACCTTCTTACACTCACACTCAGTAACCCCAAAGTAAATAGGAAGATCTGAGTTAGAAAGGATTAGGTAAAATAGATATCCTAAGGCAAGCAAACAACAACTTGTTGCTGTTGGGTCAGAACAACTCATAACTGACCCTCCTGCAGGTTTCCGAGGCTGTATATTGTCTGTCTTTGTCCTGAATCACTAGTCAGGTGTGGTCATTGGGGTAGCAGTGAAACTTCTTGTGAACTATGCCATCAAGTTCTGTAAAAGACTTAGAATGAAGAGGATAGACCATCCCTTGAGAAAGGAGTGCTTGCCAAGCCCTGCCTGGTAGAGTGGGCCAGCTGAACTCGCTCCATAAAACTGTGATTCAGGAGATAGGAACTGACTGGAACTGTTACCCTTTAACTGCTTGCCTGTATCCACAGGTGCCTGGAACTCAACTCAGCAGCGGCAAGGGTGGTACGTAGTCTGGACCTTGACGCCTTCAGTGTTTGCCAGAGCTAGAGATAGTGCACAAACAGCCAGATCAAGCAATTAGCACATGAGGTAGAGTCCCTCCCTCAGCAAACAAATCTACCACGTCCACGAAGCACCTGGGGGAGGGTCAGTGTGCTAGTGAAGATGAGGTGAGCTGGTCATTCTCTCTGCCTAGCCCTTCAGCAGGTTTCTGGTGGGCCTCACAGACTGATTACATGTACTCAGGCACTGATCAGTCTCTCTTTTTGAACACCACAAAGATCATAGTTCTGGGCCGCCCTCAAAAAGCCCTGGGGTGTGGAATCAAGGGAAAAAGTGGAGGGTGGCTTGCTGGTAGCAAGCAACGTGTCTTCCAGCTATAGCTTCCTTAGTGCTTCTGCTCCTTCAGCAGCAGTCGGGTCAGTGTTTGGGATCTTCAGGCCAAGTGCCCTTTCAAGTGGAGCTGTCAGATGGAACCACACCATCCTGTGAGTTAAACAGCATGGGTCCACATTCATCCAGGCTCAGCTCTTCACGGAAGTTTGTGTGACCTGGGCAAGACCTTTGGCCTTTCTTGGCTTCAGTGTCTTAATCTGGAGCATAGAGTCTCAAAACTCGTTTCCAACTGAGTTTCCAAAGCTGTGATTCACATAGGAGGATACTGTCTGTCCTTCTCCCAAGGAGCCACAAGTGGATGCAAAACCACCAGAGAACCTCTGGGTTAACAGCACAACTTACAGTCTAGGATCTCCTTGGAACATGGGCCAGTGATACCAAATAAGAAATCAGGACTGCAAAGCAATAGGCAAGGCAAGACCAAGAACACGTTATTTTCTCTCAGGGAGTTCCAAAGCAGAGAGGTTTGGAACTTTTGTTTTGAGTGAAGTGGGCTAACCAGACCTTGTGATAGCAGCTCTGGAAGGGCTTCCCAGAAGTTAAGGTGCGATTCTCATTTCCCTGATCTCTCCTCCCTTACTTGGGCACACACTTATTATTTTCATAGCTTTCCAGTCTACTGCCCCTGCCCTAGACTCAGTCAAAGTCCTCCCACTTTATAAGAAGGTAAGACTGCCCAGCCCCCACCTGCAGTGCCCTTGAGACTGTTCTTTTTAGTCTGTCTCCCAGGCTTGAGACTCAAATATAGGGGGAAGTGGGTACCCGTCCTTTTGGTGCCTTTGTAGAGCTCTTCTGAGTAACCAGAACTACAGGGATCTGAGGTTGGTTCAGACAAGGCAGATTTCTCTCCCCAAAGACACACCAAAAAAAGTCCAAATAGAAATATTTTAATTGGCTTGTAAATTTTGAAGTTCTTCCACACATTCACCGAAATAGCTCACCTGATTTTATATATGTCCACATTACATACACCTTTTTCTCATCTCCCAATGGAGTATTGGGATCACCAAGAGGTCCCCATTGCCTAAGGAGGTATTCAGAGTTCAAGGAAAAGTCTAGGAGAATGGGCAGGAGAACTGGCTACCTTACAGTTTTGGAAGATATGGGCACAATCCCACGAGTACATATAACCTGAAAGGGATGGTCCCTATTTGGTTCAAATTCCAGAGCAGCAAGGCTGGGTGCACCCTAGCCCAGGTAATAGTGCTCTATCCTTGGCATTATCAGGGTGTCTCTTTCCAGTCCTTATGTGGCAGCAGCAGTGATGGAGGCAGAAATAAACTCATTTCAGATTGCAATACAGATACATGGACACAATCATGGCAGCCAGCTGATAAGAGAACAGGGAGAGATGAAGGGACAAGATCAGGTGGTTAGATCCTGAAGCTTTAATTGCCTGCCCCCCAGACACCCCTCCTTCATGGACCTCTGTTAGGAGTCTCTTAGGCTTTAAGGATGAGAGTCAAACAACCTTCAGCCTCTTACCTCCAGGGCCCCAATTCCAGCTGCTACGCCACCCACAGTGGCTGCATTGGTCCTGATGTCATGAAGAAGCTGCTTGAAGCAACCCTTAAGAGAGAGAACAGCATTTACAGTCAGCTATTTTCCAACTGCCTCCAGTACTCAAGACCAGAAAAAGAAACCTCCCACCCTTCCATCGACACCTGCACTTCGTATTTCTCAGCATCCATCTTGCTACAGGGTTCACTGACTGTGTGGTTGCAGCAGGGTGGAGGAAAGGCATGGTTTTCCTTAAAATAGGGAGAGTCTTCAAAATCTGTATAGTTGTTGAAGCCACAGCATTTGAGCTAGAGAGAAGAGAAGGGAGTCAGTAGGGCCTTGCTTCCTCTCTATCCCCCAAAACTCCCCCAACCCATCTTACGTTTTCCATTGTGATATTCCACACTTGGGAGAAGTCTTTCTGCTGACCATAGTCTTTCTTGATGGCAGGTACTACCACTGCTGTCAGGAAGTTCTCAGCCTGTGGGGGGCCAGCGAGTGTTTAGGGGCTGACGGCAAAGGTGAAGGTGGCCATTCATAGGCCACGACCACTCAGAGTTTTGCCTAATCTGCCTCCCTTGCCCCATCCCGGCTCCTCACCATTGCGGTGTACACCAAAGCGACCACAGCAGCAGCAACTTCAGCAATGAAGATGATGAGGAGGATGGAGAAGAACTGAGTGCGGAACAGGAGATCAAGATTAGGGAAGACAGTTCCTTGTGCTTCTCTTGCCCTAGCCCACCCGGTAAAAATGAGGCAGGGGCCCCCTTTGCTGAGGGTTCAGGCATTCAGAGTGAGGTTTGGAGATCCCCAGGGTCGGTCTGGTGTTAAGAGTCGGGGCCCTGGGCCTTCGTCATGGGTCCGAGGAGCTGGGTCTGACACACCATCATGAGAGCACACTTGTTCTCGCTTTGAGCACCATAGCAGCCCAGGAAACCAAGGGCAAGGAGCACAGCACCAGCTGCGATGAGGAAGTAGCCCACGTTGACAAACTGCACAGCACTGGACGACATCGGCCCGAAGATCTTCAGGAAGGATGGCCCATCCACCGATACCCAGATGCCCACAGCCAGCAGGGCCGCACCAGACAGCTGAGGACAGAGAGGACAGGCATGTCTTGAAATAGTGGAAGACAGCTCACTACTATACAACTGAGACAGGGAGCTGGGAACCTAGAAATCTCACCCTTTATTGGCTAATAAGTTCAGAAACTCACCCTTCAGGAATTGGAACTTCTAAAACTAGAAAAGATGAAAGCTGGGATACCTTATAGTCAGTACCAGGCTGCATACCTGGACAGTTAGAAATGGGATCAGGGTTTCTAGAAATGTCCATAATGGTGAAGGGAGAGGCAAGACTCTTTCTCACTCTTGTCTGGTTCCTGCTACAGGTAGGTGAGGAACCAGTCTGCTTCCTTTTCTAGCACTATGTGTGTCTGGAACACCTCTGTCCTGCAATAAGCAGAAACAAAGCAGGGAGGAAGAGGGTGTGACATTAAGCAGGCCAACAGTCACCATAGCAATAAAGGCGGGGCTGAGGCTTACACCTGCTCCTAACCTTGGATGGTGCACTTGAGGAGAAGAGACTTCCATTCTGAGACCGATTTGGCTCCCTGCTTGCCCCTCCTCATCCAGTCTAGACGTCTCCTTACCACACAAAGGAAACCGATGTACCAGTGGGAGTATAGCCAGAGCTACTCTTAGAGACTCTCCTCTAAAATCCCAAACTTCAGAAAGGATCTGTATCCCGGACAGGGAAGTTACAGTCCAGCTCACACAGATCTGGGAGTGAAAACTTGCTGAGTTTTGGTGGACTGATAAAACTCACATTATCTTAGTACCCAGATCCCACTTCCTAGCTACAGAAACTGAGGCTGAAACCAAGAATGAGGTGGCAAATTGTGGCTGGGTTTGTTTGCCTAAGAACAGAAATCTGGGCTTCCAGCCTACAGGGTCAGATTACAAGGAGCCTGCAGCCTGCGTTATCCTGCTCTGCCTAGGCAACAGGGGCCAGAAATCAAAACCGGATTTGCCTGTAACTCCCTCAGGCCAGAACCCCTGTTTTACAACTCCTAGAATCCGATTGTCTCCTCCAGATACATGGATAAATGCTGACTCCTCCAGACCCCCAAAACTACCATTGAGTCTGAACCAATTTATAGCTGAGCCTCCAGTAGGTTTTCAGGAGGCTGTAAATCGCACGAGAAAGATGATTGCCCAATTTTCTCCCAAGGAGCTGCTGATGAATTAAAACCACCAGACAAACATCACCTTTGGGTTAGCAACTAAAAGTCTTAGGGACTGCACCACCAAAGCTACCTGCTAGTTCCTAGAAGTCAAAGGAAACACAAATCACGTCAGGATCTAATTACTATAGGTCAATTTCTCAATCATCTACATTCCAGTGTCTCCACTTCCTTAACATCCACTCTAATCCATTCTAGGGGGAGTTCTGGCGGTCAGTAGGTAAGGAGTTACATTGCCAACCCAAAATCAGAAAGTTCAAATCCACCAACTAATCCCTGGGAGAAAGGTAGCAATCTCCACCACTCCTACAATCTCCTTCACCTTCTGAAAATGCACTAGATGGTCAGTTATGAGTAGGTTCCAACTGAACAGCACATAACAATCCATCCTAATGTGCCTCTCAGGTCTCTGGTGACAATCTGTGTCTCGTGGACATCTCAGGGCCTAGCTTCCTTAACCTCGCTGATAGTTTGCTTGCCTGCCTTTTCTCTTAGTGCTCCTTCTCCATTTCTGTCATGGTAAATATTCTTCTACACCTTCCTTCTATGGACTTCCTTGGAGTCCATTTTCCTTGAGTATTCCTGTATGTGCTTTCAAGAACCATCTCTGTTGTACATGACTCTCGAATAGCTGTGTCCCGCTCAAACTTGACTCTGCTGTGTGCACAAGTGCCTTGGGGAGAACCTCTAGATGTTCATGCCAGAGATATGGGCATCACCTCCAAGACCTCTGTCTCCCTTGTCCACTCTGTCACCATCTCAGAGCTCAGCAGTCCATCTGAGAGCTTTGTCCTGTTCTCCCAATCCCCAAGGTTCACGCCTCATTACTCAGCTTCCTCAAACATGCTCTATACAATCTGTTTGTGGTTTTCTGAGATTTTTGTTTTGTTGGCCTTTATGCATATTTTACAATCTACATCTCCACCCATCTAGTACAAATTTCTAGCCTTAGCTATTTCCTCCAGGAAGTCTTCTCAAACCAAGCTATGTTCAAGGCCATCTTATGGGTTCCTATAGTTCCAGTAAAGAGTCCTGGAGTAGAGGGTGGAGTAATGGGTGAATGTCTGACTGCTAACCTAAAGGTCAGTGGTTGGAATTTACCAGTCATCCTGCGGGAGAAAGATGAAATCTATTCTCATATAAATTTACAGCCTTGGAAATTACAGGGCAGTTCTACTCTGTCCTATAGAGTTGCTAGGAGTTGTAAATGACTTCACAGCATTGGATATTATTCCTGGGCTAAGTCGTGACATATATGTGCCCTGCTAGGGCAGAGAAAGACCTTATTTATCTGCAACTATAGAATGCAGCACAGAATGCTAGGGAATAAATATTTATGAAATTATTAAGGACTGCTTGAGGTTGACCCCCTTCTCTGTTTCAGGATCTTTGATATTACTGGGCCCTCTCTCAGTCAGCTTCCCAGCATTCGGAAGCCACTTAATTCTCTTCCACACTAAATGACTTTAGGCAAACTCTTTCCCCTCTCTCTCTATTCCCTTCCTTAATAGTCTACTCTCTCCTGGAAGGAAACAGATTTTCCCTAAGCCTCCTACCCCTCCATGGGCAATACCTCAGCAATTATTGGATCAGGACTCAGTAACTGCTGGATTGCCTATATCTTACTTACTACTTACTGGGGAAAAGTTTCAGGAACAGAGTCTGTGCAGAAGTCTCCTATACCCTCTGCTCAGGTTGTGACCCATTCCTCTAGGACCCCTAAAGAGCCATCAACCCCAATACTTACAAAAATAATCAGGTTGAAGAGAATCATCATGGTCTTGAGGAAACTGAAGCACTTCATGGTGGCTCCTAAGAAGCAGATGTAATATGGGAGTTTGAGGCTTCTTCCCCTACTCCCCACAGCCTGGATTGTCCCTAGCATCTGGATCCTGATATGCCAGGCTCCAACTTTCTGAACCCATATTTTATTAAGCTTCCTGCACTTAAGACTCTGACATTTTAGGACTTCCTTTGACCCTCATACTGAACCACTTACATCTCTACACGACCCAAGTCCTCTGTCAGCACCTGACGTTCTGAGATCCTAACATGCCAGGTCCTTGAACAGATGCCTCAAGCCTAACTCCTGAGACTCTAAGTTCCTGCATGCCCTTCCCTAACACCTGTATATACCCTTGGGCTTTCTCCAATTCTAATTCTAGGGCCTTTTAAGGCTCATCCCTATGGCCCCTTCCAGCTTCCCAAATATATTTCCAGGTTGATTTATCTTTATAGGGTAATCCTTATTCTATGCCATCACCTGTTTAGGGATCTTGGCAGCTCAGGGTCTGGAAGATGGACCAAACAGCTCCGGAAAGGACAAACAGCTCCAGTGAACAGCCGCTGAGTGGGCAGGCGGTAGGCAGGCTGCCTCACACACACCACTGCTCACCTGCAAGCTGGGCAGGCGCTTTAAAGGCCTCCTTCTGCCCGCCTGCCTGCCCCACCCGCAGCCAGTTGGCCTCCTCTTGCCCCTGCTGCCCCCTGCTGCCTGGAGATGCGTACCCATAGCCACAACAGCAGCTGGCCTCCGCCTGGCAGCGCCAACCATAGCAATGCCACTCCTCGTCTTTGGAATAGGGACGTCTAAGAATGGAGCAAGTGAACTCCAGATCTCCTGGGTGCCCTTCACCACAATAGTGCATGTAGACATCTTATCTTTACATCTGCTAATATATTCATACATACTCTATTCATACATAAGCACACATCTGCCCAAACTGTCATCCATATCAGATACAAACTTAAACACCTACTAGGGAGCTTTGGTGGCCTAGTAGTAAAAATTTTTTCTTTAGTACTGAAGGCTCAAGGTTCAAATCCAGCAGTTGCTCTGAGGGAGAAAGATGGGCAATTTCTTTCTGTGCAATTCATTTATTGCCTCTGAAAACCCTCTGGAAGGTCAGCTCTGGGTCAGTTCTGACTCAACGGTAAACAACAACAAAACGGACAATGTCCGTGAATAGGGAACTCTGGTGGTCTAGTGGGGAAGAGTTGCACTGCCGACCCAAAGAAATGTGGTTCAAATCCACTAGCTGATGAAGAAAGATGGACAATCTCTGATATCACTGTGTGATTTACAGCCTTTGAAAATCCACTGGAGGGTCTGCTGTGAGTTGTTTCCAAACTTGATGGTACAGTACAACAACAGTGTGAGTGCACACACACTCAAACACATACACATTGGACTTCTTATGAATTGATTCTTGGCAATAAAGTAACAGTACAAAAAAAAAAAAGTAACAGTACATTCTCTCTTTTACCTCCCCAATTTCTCTCTCTCTCTCTCTC